GTGGGGGAGGGCACTGGTGGTGGTGGGGGGGGTTGAGAACCCAGGGCTGGGGTGGGGGGCAGCCAAAATTTTTTTTGCTTGGGGCGGCAAAAAACCTAGAGCCGGCCCTGTTTAATGGAAGCCATTTTGGAGACACAACCTCAAGTATTAAGACTCAAAAAACAAAAATTACAAAAACAATGGAATCATTTTCTCTCTCCAGAATTGGCATTAAAAATGCTCCTGGGCTCAGCCTTTTTATGCCAAGTTTCAGCCTCAAGGAAATTTTTACTGCTTAGTTATGTTCCGACCCCCCTGAAAATAAAGCTCAGCTCCTGAACTATTGAAGTGCAAATGGCCCAATTGTAATCTAGAAAAATTCAAGAGAGAGAGGTCAAATGTTATATTAAACACTTATGTCAATGCAGTTTAACAGCAGGAAGATATAAGAATGTTTATCCTGAGCAGCTTTAATGTTACCAATATACTCTCTTTTCAATAAGTGGATGTAATTAGTTTACTGATCCCTGGCTGGTGTATACTAAATGAAAAAAATATAATAATCGGTGCTTTTATAGTGCCTTCCATGGAAGGATCTCAAAGTGTTTTCCAACATTAACGGAATAAGCCTCACACCTAGAGCTGAGAGAATAATTGATTTTTCAGTTTGGTGGCTATACAAAAAACAAACAAAAAACCCCAACAGAGGAAAGAAAATAATTTCAGCTCAACCCGAAACAGAAATTTTGTTTTTCTCACCAATATGGAAAACTGAAAAAGTGTAATTTGGGTGAAACAAAATGCTTTGTTCAATCAGAAATGATTTTTTGGCCTTTTTTTTCAATTTGTTTTTGGGTATTTTTTATCCCTTTAATAATAAATCCAGCTAAATTAAAAAAAAACATTTTGAAATGAAATGAAAAGGCTAAACATTTCAAATATATTCAACAAAATCTTTTGACTTTTTCAGGATTCCCCCCTCACACTTTGTTCTTCTAAAAATATTCGCCAAATAGTTTTTGTCAACCCGAAACTGGTTTTTTGGTGAATAAACTATTTATCAAAAAAACTTTGCCTCACTTTATTCACAACATCCCTGTGTAGCAGGCAAATATGGTTATCCCATTTTACAGATAGGGAACTGAAGCAGAGAGATTATGGCTCTGATCCTGCAATGACATTGCATTGGTGAATTCCTGTCCCTGACTGGAGCTACCCTGATTTAATTGGAGCACCAGGCAGGGGTCTGTGCATGCAAATGCCATTGCAAGACTGGGGCCATTTGATTTTTCCAAGATCACAAATGAAAAATGTGATGGAGCTGGGTATTAATGCTAGATCTCCCGAGTCACTTCGTAGTGCCTTAGCCACAAGTCCATCCTTCATCTCAGTGAGCTGCCATTGATCTCAGTGGGACTACTCACAGTTCTAACCACTACACTGTATTTGTAGGATCAGGGCCTAAAGTTGAAGTGGAATTCCTTCCAGTTTTCTCTATTTTAGATGTGATAATAGAAACCTCCCTTCATCTTCAGAAAAGAGCTTCTATACGAAGTTCCCCCCTTTTTAAATAGGAGAAATATTATGGTGCTCATTAAAATAATTGGAATCTTTATTCCTCAGTGAATCAACTATAGTACATTTCACATGTTCAGTGAGAGACCCAACCTTGGATGTCTGGAGTTACAAAGATGGACCCTGTTAGGAATGAAGTGTTAGGGGAAGTGTGAAAGGTGATTCCAGTTATAGAAAAGCTGAGAGGCTCCAGGCTTAGATGGTTTGGAAGATTGGAAGAATATATAGGAATTTAGAAGTGGAGGGTAAGAGAAGTGTTGGAAGACGCAAATCTAGATGTATGTATGTTATACAAAAGGATTTGAATAGCTGTAGAGTTTCTGAGGAAGTGCTTCAAGATAGACTGGAATGGGGAAGGACTCAAAGAACTGACCCCATATAGATGGGACTAAAGCTAGAAGAAGTAGACAATGATGATGAGACCCAACCTGAATCCACAGTGCGTATATCTTCCCTACAGGCTGCAGTAACTCCATGATTTTATTCTGATGGGAAGGCTTTGTTAGTAATATCCCTTGTGCTAGTATTAGTTTTAAAAATCAAGTTCTCTCATAGTTGATGTATCACTAAAACTGAGGAGGAATATTTGTCAGATCCTGATAAACCCTGGAAAAAATGCAGCTTTTTCAGAACAAAATGTTTTGTCACAGGAATCACCTTAAATGTCAACCTATTCAGTGACAACTTTATGGTGACATTTTCCCACACAGTTAAGCTTGGCTCAAGTGCTACTTGCAAAATGTTGATTTTCCCGAACTCCCAGAGTGTTTGGGGAAAAACATGATACAGTGTGTATATATAATTTGATGCACAAAAACATGTATTTGTTGCCTTGACTGCTGGGCGAATTTACATAACTAAGACATAAATTAAATTTAACATCATGCTGCCAACATTTGTGTAGCATCTAATGTTAAGTAAATAGAGTTAGAGTTAGGCCTGGTCTACACTACAAAGTTAGGTTGACATAAGCCGCCTTGCATCAAAGTAGTTGTGCACGTTTCTACAGTTAAATTGGTCTCCCACCAACGTAAGCGCCCTTTTACATTGACTTCCTTGAGTGGCATTGAGCCATGGTTGATGTACTGAGGTTGACGCAGTGCGAGTGTAGACACTGACCGATGTCGACCCTAACAGTCCTCCAGCAGCTGTCCCACAATGCCTGCCACTGGCCTCTCTGTTCACAATTGTGAACTCCACTGCCCAAGGGTCACATAGACCAGCGGACCTCCCCTCCCTTTTAAAGCCCCATGAATTTTTGAAATGCCTTTTCCTGTTTGCCCAGTTTGGTGAGCACACCTAGCCTTTCTCTCTCGTTGTGTGCACTGACCTAGCTGACCATGTTGGCTACATGCTCCAGAAGTGCTCCAGCTTGGTATAGACAGGAGATATTGGATCTCCTGGGCCTGTGGGGAGAAGAGGCTGTGCAAGCACAGCTACGGACCAGACATAGAAACGTTGACATCTATGGGCAGATTGCATGGGGGATGTGGGAGAAGGGGTATGACAGAGACCAGCAGCAGTGCTGGGTGAAAGCCAAGGAGCTGTGGCAGGCATACCAGAAGGCCAGGGAGGCCAACAGTCGACCTGGTGCCGAGCCACAGACCTTCCGCTTTTATAAAGAGCTGCATGCTATACTTGGCAGAGACCCACCACCATCCATTAGACCGCTGTCGATACCTCTGAGGAGCCCAAGCCAGAGATTCCTGGCATGAACAGTGAGCACAAGGTGGAGGAGGATGGAGGACATGTGATCAGGGGGTCCAACTATGTAGCAATCCCCCCAGATTTCTGCCACACTGAAGTAGAGAGTGCAGCTGCAGAGACGTGCCTGGGAAAGGCACCAGCAGCTAGGGGGTCCAACTATGCAGCAAGACCTGTTTGAAACCCCACCACACTCCAATCCGTCGCAGCAGTTGAGCACACATAAGCCCGATGCAGGGGAAGGATCATCAGGTAAGCGTGTAAATTTATTTCCCATTACAGTGATAGCACCCCCAACTTAACAGCACACACTGATGGACTTTTCATTAATTTACTTGCACTAGAAGAGGTAGTGGTACAACAAAGCAAGGCAGAGTTGTTATCTGCTTTCCTTTGCGCTGTGAAGTTAGGTAAGGGGGGGCATTTGGAGCAGTTTGTCTATGTACAGAGGGATGTCCCTTGAATCCTCTTGATAGATTTTGGTGAAACTTCCATGGAGGTATTCTACAGTCCTCTGCCGAAGGTTTCTAGGGATGGCTGCCTTATTTCTTCCACTGCTGTAGGACATTTCCTATGTCAGTCAGCAATAACTTTGGCAGGCATGATTTCCGTACACAGGCTAGCAGCATACAGGCCCATGAGGCTTCTGGATGCCAGCAGCAGCTGTGCTCTCTCTGCCTTTGTTACCCTCAGGAGTGAGGTATCAGCTAAAATCACCACCGCCTGTGGAAAACGGTGCCGGTATCCAGTGCTCTATACTCATAGTTTCATGCAACCGAGCAATTCCGTCCTCATTTCCCTCACCCCGGTGGCCCATACTCACCATGGCTGGCGCTGTGAGTGGGGACGAGCACAAGCATTCCAAAGCAGAAGTGTCAAAAGGCAGGTCTTGTTTAAAACTTTAGTGGCGCAAGGGACAGGAGTTCTGAATCTTAAGTTATGCTTTCCTTTGTGACTGTACTGA